CATCTTTGCCTTGGCCTTCCTAACCATCCCCCTACATCCGCCTACTTTATGGTATTCTGCAGTGAATACCACATATGGCATTCACCGTGTGTTTGGCTGTGTCTCCTTGTGGGGGGCGTTCGAAAGGTTGTCTCCCACCCGACTATTGGCTAGACTCAGGACCGCTTTGTTTCCAAGCGAGCAGATGCATTCAGTCAAGCCTGGACCATATTCTGCAGATGTACAGTGTCATAAACATGAGGACAGCCTGGCCTCAGGGGCCTCTCTAACTCATTAAAATAGCATGAAAAAAGTCCAAGTAGTACGAAATAAAGAGATAACCTCCCCGAATAGAACATGTGCCAGTCTTTTAAACATAAAGATACCTGTTTGCCAAGTGATTCCCATGTAGGCATCAAGCGAGTGTGGCAGAATTAAGAGCGAGTGTGGCAGAAATAATAATAGGGAAAAAAAAAGAAAAAAAAAAGCATGCGACGAAAGAGCAGCAAGAGATCGGGTGTTTAAGCAGAACAAAAGCACCCAGCAGTCACATGGCAGGACGTACATCCTTGGGGTGATCAGAAAAAGATGTCCTAATTCACAGCTTCCTCAACAGCCATTCCATGCGTAAACTGACTTTATTACCCAACACATTTATACAAACCATTTACACAAACGCCCGGCTGCCAGGAGAGCTGTTGCGGCAGACACCTGGGCTGCGACGCCGAGGGAGAATGTCAACACCTGCGAAAGGTCTGGTGTAAATCATCCAAAAGGTTGGGGTCTGTTGTGGTTTTGGAAGGAGATGGTGAAACACTGGAGACTTTAATCTGTTCCTCGCTCCTTTAGTGTCGCTCTCATGTGAATTATTGAAGTCGCTGGGATGATCTGGGATTTACGGCAGCGTAGCGGAAATCAGAATCTGGCAGGGGGCGGGGGGGCGTCACATCGGTTCTTTGTGCAAGTCTGGTGCTTCCAGGCGAAATTATTCAGAAATTAGCTTTTTACTTTTTAATTTTATTTTATTTCTAGCTGGGGATGGGGTTGGACTCAATGACCTCCTGAGGTCCCTTCCCACCTTCATTTTCTCTGCTTTTATGGCTAAGCCAGTCAGACCACAAAAGCACTTGAATCAACCAAAGTGGTTTCCCTTTATATTAAGGTTTATAAAGAGCTATAGATGCTCTAGGCATGCTCAAAACATGTGTAAAATGGGATATAGAAAGTTATGTGCATCTGGGGTGCACTTTCCCACAGGCTTGCATGGAAGATGCTTTACCGTGGCCTTTCGTCTTTACCATGGAAGCTGCACCTTTTACAATTAAATGTATCATTAAAAAAAACATGTCTTGATCTGAGTAAAAATATAAGGCTCTAAAATATGGCATAGAAACGGTATCCTTGAAACCATGCATTTGTTCGGTGGTTTAGTTTATTCTTAAACTGCCGGGGTGGATAGTGTGCATGCATCTTAAATGCAAGGGTGCCTTCTCTTCGAAGGATTAAAGCATGGGATGGGTGCACAGATACATGGTTTACAAAGGGTTAGGGAGTGACATGCAAGTGGCTCCACTGAGCAAACGCAGGGAGTAAAACCATCTGACCCCTTCCTAAATCCTAAACTAAATCTCTCTGCTCACAGGGTGACGAGGGGCTCGCAGGCATTCGAGGCCCCATTGGCATGATGGTAAGAGCCAGCAGAGCTCGTGAGAGGGGTTTTACAGCATGAGTGCAACAGGCCTGAGTCGTGTGCGCTTGCCCTGCATGAGCCCACTGCTGGAGACCAAGCTTTTCAAAGCCACATAGAGGGTCCAAATGCCCCATTCCCTATGATTTCAGTGGCGGCGGTGTGTGCTTGGAGCAATTCTGCGTATTGCTGAGTAGAGCTGAGTTGCATTTCTCCTGCAACTCAGCCACAAAAAAGATCTTATTACTTTAACCCGTGACAGTCTTTCCGCACCCCCGTCCCCATGCTCCCATGACAGTCAGTGACCACAGAAACTCCCACACCCAAAGTTGATGACGTGCCTAAAATCCACACCCAAATACTGCAATGAGAGATGGATGTTTCTGGTTGCATGAAGAGATGGGAATACAGGAGAAGGAAATACAATTTGATGTGAAACAATTACCTTGGAAATCCAGGGAGGATTTTTTTTTATTACAAGATTCAACACTGACTCTCATCTGTAAAGACTCAGTTCTTGGTGAGGGCGCGATCAAGGAACCATGGCGCTGGGGGCAGGAGACTTGAGTGCCAGCCCCAGATCAGTCACTGACTCTGTCCCCATGTGCATTTAATTGGAAGTAGATGTGCCTCACTTTCCCTGACGTCTATAAAATGGGACTAACGATCCCAGGGAAAAGTGCTCTGAGCTCCGTGTATGAACGATGCCCTGAGAGTGCACAGCACTGTATTGGGGATGTATTATATTGCTGTGTTATATTACTGTTCTTTAGTCCACAGGCTAACAAGCTGAATGGGAATGGGACCCCGTGGTTGGTTTCTTTGTAACTGCAGGATAAGATGGAATGGGATGAGATGGCTCCACTGGTCTGGAGACAGTCTTGTTCTGGTGCTGCTGCTGAATGGGTCAAATGAAGCCAGCAGGAAAAAACCTCCCCTAAGGAGGGAGGCTGCACTCCAGAGTGGCACCTTAGTCCACTGGGGACCTCAGAGGAGAGCAGTTATGTATTTATCAATCAATAAAGAATGACTTGATTATTATAATAATAATCATTATTTAAGGTGGTCCAGTGATCAGGGAGTGAGGCTGGGACCCAGGGAACCAGGATCCAATTCTTTGCTTCACTTTGGACTTCCTCTGTGGTATTGGGCAAGCCGGGGAAAACCCACCCAAGCCTCAGGCCTGTCAAATGGGGGAAATGGCCTGTCTTCCCCACAGATCCCCATCACCCATGGACTCCTCCCTTCCCTGGAGCTCGGTCCCCCACGAGACCTTGACACAGCCTGACATGTTCTCAGCTGTGGGTTACTTGTTCTGAAATATCATTTCATGTGCTTGCAGGGTTTGAAAGGCCTCCTGGGAGTGAAAGGAGAAAGAGTAAGCAGCTGTGGTCATCATCTCTGCACTTGGTACAGTGGTTATGGGCACTCCAGCCAGAAGAGCCACCCATGAAAGCCATTTTCTACAGCATTGCATAGTCATAGCAAGGGTCTAGGCAGGCACATTTCACCCCAGCTCCACCCCCACGTTGCTCTCTCCCCTCTTTTGTGTGGGTTTCAGATGTAAGCTTTGGGGCAGAGAGCACCAGTGTAGATCCTGGGACCATAATGCAGGCAAGAATGAAACCGTGTTACAATGTGGTTTGGCCACCACCATGTTAAGCCTGGTTATTGGCTGGTGTAGATGGGGCCTGTTCCTGTTTCCCCAATTGTAAGATGGAGGTGATAATCCTGACTCGCCTCATGGGGCTGTTTGGGAAGGTGGATCAGTTGTTTGTACAGTGCTTTGAGGCCATTAGGTGCTGTTTAGAGACTAAGTATTACACAATCATGGAGTTAGAGGCAGGGGCAGATCCAAAGGGGTGCCGTGGTGCAGTTACACCCCCTTGTTCCCCTTGACTCCTCGTCCACCCAAAGTTTAAACCCAGCAGCCTGGCAGTGGCAGCAGCATTTCTATTCAGGCAGGAGTGCAAGACTCAATTGACGTTGTAGCTAATTACAGTCGACCTGAATCCTGGTAAGCACTTGACGCCACATCTGTTAACAACCTTGTCTCCTTTTAAATGGTCTAAATCTTCCACTAATCAAGCTAGCCGTACTTCAGCCATTCCACGATCTGGTAATATAGCCCCTGATTTATAGCTAAAAACATCAACTCAGGTGAACATTAACTCATTAACGTTCAGTGAAGCATTGGATGTACTGCCAAGAACCTCAAGAAGTCTAGATTTTGTTTTATGAATCTGAAAAAGAGATGCATATTTAACTTGAATGACTATGGGATTAATGAAACAGCATCTTTTGATTATTTTTTGCCTGCTTTGTGTTTTTCATGCATAATAGCAAATGAATGCACATCCCAATGAAGTTATATTTGTTTCGGTGTTGATTTGAAATGGAGTAAAATAGCCCTCGGCCCATAGCATGTTAGTAAAGCATCTCGTTTCTTTTGAGCTGGGGAAAAATGTGTGCTGTGTTATATGGGATGATGCGCTACTGCACCCACCTTTTCAAAATCCCCGATCTGCTCATGATTAGAAGGGGCCGTCAAGTCTAACTCCCTGCATAGATGACTGCTTATTGCAGCCTAACGAAGACTCTCCTTTTGGGCTCTCATGGGCTCTTTACAAACATACAATGAGAAGGAAGCTCCTGGGTTTTTTTTTGCTGCATGAAATTCTAACTTATGGGATACCTCCGATACACTGCATAGCACTGCGTAGGGAGGGCTTTGTCAAGTTGACTGTATTAGCAAGTGACTGCTATTTGTTGCTTGTGAGGTCTTCTACCCTTTATTCTCTTAGGCCTGGTCTTTCCCATTTATAAAATGATTCCTTACACATGAATTTTTGGGCTGAGCTAATCATGACAAGGTGATTCAAAATTCCCAGATGAACCCGGTACCATAAATACGAAGAATTACAATGATTTATAGCAGCAGCTTATGGATAGATCAATGTACTGAATGATGTAACAATTGTAGGAAAAAAAGCCATCCATTGTCCTTTTCTTTCCTGTATTCAGGGTGAGCGTGGCCTCCTGGGACCCAAAGGAGAAAGAGTAAGTGGTATAAACTGTTAACTCTATGGGGAGGTGTGGAGGATTTTGGCTGTTGTATTTGGGGTCAGGAAGGAATTTTACCCCATGGCCAGATTGGTACGGACGGGGCGGGGTGGTGGTTTGCCTTCCTCTGGAGCAGCGGGCATGGCTCTCCTCCTGGTATCTCTTGAACATATATTAACAACCATTCATAGAAGCATAATGTTGGCTGCCGTGATCCCCCTGCTTTACCTGTGGCAGGTTCAGGTGTTGTGTCTTGTGTTGTGTCAGGGTTGATGGT